CCCCCCCCCCCCCCCCCCCGACGAGCCGGACTCTATTCTATACTTGCGACTCTCCGCGAGCGCGTCTCTTTTTACCTCCTTTACCTACCTCTTCCCTCTCGCTTCCGCACGTACTCCAAACGTATTCCGCGTGTGTATATGCAGGCAGTGGCGTAACTACAGGGAGGGGGGGGGCAACGGCCCCGGGCCCCGAGGTTCGTTGGGGCCTTTGAAATTGAATTTTACTTTTTAATTACGTCGTCTAAATAACCATTCGTCTTGATATTCTACAAGTCGTTTTTAGTATATCTCTAAACCGACAGATGTAACTAACGTAAAAATATTAAAAACGCCTATTTTAGTAATTTTGATTGACAGGTTTTCTCAAAAACTCACCATAATATTCCATTTTTACGGTCAACGCTAAAATTTTGTCAGAAATTATTTGATAAAACTTAAAGCAAAGATCTTATTGTGTCTATTATTATTTGAAGTATATATAATTATTTAACTAATTGGTAAAACTTTACAAAAACTAATTAGTTGAATTAAAAATAAAATTACGTTTTTCGGTTAAACAATCCTTCCGCATGGGGGGGGGGGGGCCCTTCAAGAGGTTATGCCCCCGGGCCCAAATTTTGAAGTTACGCCGCTGCTATATACGTATGGGATGTTCCGAAACTTTCCTTTTTGTTCACAGATACTTCCGCGAAGTATAGCGATACTCCCTCGGCAATCATAATAGTTCGAAACTTGAAAATCTTTTTTTTTTTTAATCCTAAAAAATAGAGTCGAGATAATTTTTCTTACAAAGTTCGTTAACGTAATATTGGAAAGATTACTTGACAAGTTTCGAGATTCGGACGAATCTTTGTTACACTACGAGAGCTATGTTTATAAATTTTCACGACGACTTGATCATTGATAATCTCAGTATTCTGTATTGAGAGAATTTGTGATCTTTTGGGGGTAAATGGGGCACCATGCGTGTATTTATCTTTGACTACAGTCAAAGGTACTTATTCATTTATCTGTGTACCTGCGGATATGTGCACGTATCCATATTCATGCGATATTCTCCGATATTCGAGCGATTATAACCCACTTCACGTTCCGACGAAAGGTACATCTGATATTTTAATAAATATGATCGCATATTCACGATTGAGACTCAAGTACGAAATTTAATGATAAAACATGTGTATTTACACGCTCAATTTGTCAAGTAAAAATTAAGCTATTCCATTTAGCTTGAATAGGAAGAGAAAGAAGCGAACCGAACAACGTGAAGTTAGCTTTGAATATTGAAATAGCGTTCGAAGACCGTGGCGGCAATTAAAAGAGGGGGGAAGAAAAATGATTGCAAGATAGACGACGTCAAATCGATTATCTTCCGGTTAGTCATGAAAGGAACGATAGTTATTGTTAATAGCGAGAAGAAATTACAATAAAAATAATTACATTTACAACTTTATTAGCATAACACGTCTCAATGAGAGTTAATTTTTCTCAGATTCGGATCCTTTTTTTTCTTTCCGCGACATTTAAAATATAATAGTATACTTTTGTACTTACGTTTTCTTTTTTTTTTTTTCTGTACAGATGTGCAAACAAGAGAAAGAACCTGCTTAGAATAATCTTATCTGATGAAGTTAATCGAGCTCAAAGTGTCCGATTATTGTTACAATTTATTATTGTAAATGTTATTTACACATATATCTAAGCTGCAACAGCTTCGTAACGTCTTTCTGTTATCTTCTTTTTTTTCCGTTTCTATGATGGATATGAGGTGAATCTTGACTGCGATAATTTTTTTTTTTTTTTTTAAATCGTATAACAAATATTTAACTAATTAGTTTGTAATTAAGAATACGAGAACGCATAAGTGTAACATAATAGTATGAGTACTCATTCGTTCCGTCTTTCTTCCCTCTCTCTCTGCGCGTATCACGTTTCTCACTTCTTGCGATTTATAATAGAATACATATATGTATACATATCCAAGTGTTTATATATATATGTATTTGTATATAACCTAAAATTGTGTCAATGTGTGTTCAAGATATTAAATGTTAACTTCGCACAAGATCGATTACATCTTCAAAAGGGAAGTCTCTTTCTCTCTATGTATACATATACATACATATATATGCATATATGGTATATGTATATATATATGTACGTATATATATATATGTGTGTCAAACTTAGCATGTTCTAAGTAGATGATTTATTTAGGATGCATCTTCTTAAATAGAAATCTACCCTCCCTGTTAAAAGTTTCTTACATCTTACGCATGGCGAGCAATTGAACCCGCCAGTGTATGTGTACATGTACGTGTATGATGTGTTACAAGGAAGGATTATTCTTTTCCACAAATCGTATAAAACTTATAAAACAGAAAGTGCGTTTAAAATTTACGCCTAAAAAGAGATATTTATACATGTTCCCACGCGTATCGATGCTACATCCAGCCTCCTTTAGGCCTTTCAACGCGACATCGAGATCAAAATCGATACCGCAGCCCAACATTCCGCTTTTGTTGTGTACAGCAAAAATTTCCCCTTTCGACAATTATTATCTTCGATTTCGGATTTAAGCAGATTGAAACTGTAACTTGAAGTATATACTCCATAACGTTCTACGCTTGCTGGTCCGCTTAAACTCTCTTTCTCTCCCCCCCCCCCCCCCTCTCTCTCTCTTTTTCTCTATCTATCTTCCGTATATTCTTCCTGTCATCATTATGGATTCGAAATTATTAACAAGAGACTGTATGCTCCACTCTCCACAGATCGTTTGTCGTCCGTTGGCCAGTGTCTCGGACTAGTTACAGACAAATGGCTTTCCACAAGTACAAAAAAGGATCGTTATCTATTTGTGTGTTTTTTTTTCCCTTCATACATCATGCAACTTTTCATGTGTACGATTATATGTCAATACGTAATTGTGACATTCAGGTCACGAGAGGAATTTTTAGATAATATTACGTATCTCATTTTTCTGTAACGGTGTACTGTATTATGCATTAATAATGTTATTATCACTAACGCAAAATTCTCGATAGTAATATTTTGTTTTAGTTATTGTAGCTTTATCTGTAGTAAATGTACTGATGGTGATGGTAAATGGTGGGATGTTGCTTAGTCAACAGATGAAGCTACCTATCCCAAGGAAGGAAAGTCATTCTCGTCGTCTACCTTTGGAGCGTTCTGACGACTTCGCGGCGACCTCTGTTCGTTCTGTGACTGTAAAGAAGAAAGAAAAAGCGTGTATTATTTTTATGTTATTTTTCGATATATTTTTTTTTCTTCTTCGAAGCAGAAAAATACTTCATAATTAAACATTGAGTGTTGAATGGCTCGTTGCTCGGTGCGATTGACTCACGATCTGTAGAGTTCAATCCCACCTGCACCCACACGCGATTTTTCGTGATAAGCAACCGAAAATGGCTCCACCTGATCAAGTGATCCACTAGTTGGTGATCTACGATCACCAACGCCGTTCGGACAATCTTTAAATGCTGATACTCACGCGTGTCTCACCGTCCCTGGGAGCACCACGATTTCCAAATCCACGTCCGTTCATGCGATCGCCACGACCGCGACCACCTCGACCGCGACCGCCAGAACCACGTCGTGAATCACTGAACTGGATCTCGATACCTAATACACGTTTCTGTCTGCCAACGCGCTGAGGATACTCCGCGGCCGCGTCGTACTCCTCCTCCTCCTCTTCCTCCTCTTCGTTGCCCTCTTTCTTCTTTTCAAGCGCGTACATTTTCTTCCAACGCGACAGATCCTCACCCTCGCCGGCCTTTCGCAAATTGTATTGAGGCTTTGTTCTATTATTCCGCAGAGCTTTCCATTCGTCAAGGGTGAGTTCGCGCGTCTCTTCCTCGACCGGTTTCTCCTCAACGGTCGCATCCGTGGTTGTTTCTCCATTTTTAACTTCGGTCGGCGCTTGAGGTTCGGAATCCGGCTTATCATTGGCCCAATCCTGGCTTTCTTGATTCAGGCTCTCTCTAAAAAACAAAAATCAAGATACATATCACATTTTTTTTTTTTTTGTTCAAAGACAGCTGTTGTAGGAAACTTGAACTATTAATTATAATATCTTAAATTACTTACTCTATTTCGTCATTATGAGTACCCCAGTTATGGCTGCCAGCACCATCTTTTTTATCCACTGGTTTAATTCCACTGTTAATAGACAAATGTGAAATAGGCTTTAAATTATGGTGCACTGAACAAGCTACATAGCATTATATTGTTATTATTATGTTTAGTAATTAACAATGCATGCCTCATTGCAAATGCTTCTGTTGAGAAATTATCATTTTTGCTTATTTACATGATTATGTAACAAGTTATAATAAATATTAAAAAAAGTATTCGATAAGCTGTTGCAGGGTTGCCACAAATTTTTCATCCTAAAATTTCCTGACATTTTCCTGATTTTACTGACAAAATTTTGTAATTTTCCCTGACTTTCAATAATAAATATTTTGAAATATTTTTTGTATTTTCATCCTGATTTGAAAATTGTTAAATATTTTGTTGATCGAGTAACATAACAGTGTAATTAAATTAATGTTATAATATAATACTATTAATACTGATTTAATATAATCTTACAAAGACATCATACATAAATTTTCAAACGTTTCGGCTACACAGAGCCTTCATCAGTGAATTACAATAATTATTAACAGATTCAAAATAAATGGAACCATAATTTTCGGTAACAGTTAAATTATGTACTAGGAATTAATAACCTTCTTTATTGGTGTCCTTCAAATCACCAATAAAGAAGGTTATTAATTCCTAGTACATAATTTAACTGTTACCGAAAATTATGGTTCCATTTATTTTGAATCTGTTAATAATTATTGTAATTCACTGATGAAGGCTCTGTGTAGCCGAAACGTTTGAAAATTTATGTATGATGTCTTTGTAAGATTATATTAAATCTAAATATTATGATATTTTAATTTTTAAGATCTAATTATTGCTCGTAAGGGTCGTACATTTATTGTTGTTTTTTAAAATTGTTCGAACGTGATATTATTATTACTATTAATACTATTAATAAATAATACTATTAATGTTGCTGATACTACATTTTATCGTTAAGTTAATAGTACTTTTTGTCTTTTCCTTTCGTGTATGAACATGATTCTTTTCCTCTTCCTCTTTCTTTTTACTACTTAAAATATAAGGAACATAAATCAATGAATACAGTTTCTTTTTTATCAAAATTATGATCTGTTTATTAAAATCTCAATCTGCTTATAAAAGTTAACATATTTGAAAGAAAAATCATAAAATTATAGAATAATATTTATTTTACTCACTTGTTCATAAGTGACATAGAACTTTCTTTTATATAAAACAAAAGAACAGACAACTTTAAAATTTCGATGTTTTTAGTAAAGCATTTTAAATCTTTACAAGTTTATGTTAGCTTTTTAACATAACTAAAATTTCAAATCCTTAAAGAAAACTTAAATACTGCAATATAAAAAATTGTACAAGTTTTTTAATCGAATGTTAATGACATCAGTGATGTTATTTCTTCATCAAGAGCACTTAGTTCATTAGTTTTTTCTGCCAAAAGTTTTGCCTTCTTAGTCTTCAATTTTGAAATTTTTGTAAACAAAGATCTTTTTTTAGCAACCGAGTTGACTTGAAGAACAAAGCGAAATGATTTTTATCGATAGTGGCGTCGTGATATAAATAAATTTCTTTACAGCTATATTATTTTTCCCGAAAAGTGCGCTGAAATCCCTGACTTTCCCTGATTTACTGACGCATTTTTCAAATGCCCTGACATTTCCCTGATTTCCCTGACTTGTGGCAACCCTGTGTTGTATTTACCGTCGTGTATAACACAAAGTACAATGTCGCAACTAGAAAGAGCAATGAAGTTAAGCGTAAAAATACAAATGGAAAGCAAAGTGGACGTGAATTGCATTTGTCGGTGCTCTGAAAAAAATTCGACCGGACGTAACAACACTGTAAAAAATGAAATGTTAATTTTAACTCAAAGATGTTGAGTGGATTTTTTGAGACATGCAAAAATGTTGAAATTAACATTTTTTTTTGTATTAATGTTAACATTTTTGCATGTCTCAGAAAATCCACTCAACGTCTTTGAGTTAAAATTAACACTTTCTTTTTTACAGTGAACCTTGATAAGACGCGCACCCCCAGAGGCAAGCATTATTATAAAGAAATACTCGAGCGTAACGTCTCTCTCTCTCTCTCTCTTCTCCCTCCCCCTCCCTTCCTCCCTCCCTCTCCCTGTGCATGTGTATTTTGATACTTACGTTTTATCAGAACCAGACTGACGATCGAACTCGCGTTTGCCGCGATTATCAAAGCCGCCGCGTCCACGAGGGCCACCACGTCCGCGGCCCATACCCCGCATACCACCGCGGCCACGGCGCTCGCCATACTCGCCACGTGGAGTCTCGCTCGAGTTTCGGAACTCGCGTGCCTCGCGGCCTTCGCTGAAATAAAACGGAATAGTTGCTACAAGTGCGAAAAAAATATCTCAAGCTCAGAAATCTGAATATGTAATTGTGAATATTAATGGATCCGAATATGTGTTTCTACCGAGGGGGTAACCACTAGCTGAAATATTGTCCCACAGATTACATGATTTTATTTGATTTCATACGATTTCATCTGATGAAAAATAATTTTCTTCACTATACATATGAAGTTATTTAGCGAAATTAATCTGATATTATACAATTATTCCTTGTAATTGCATATGTAATTATATATAAGGATCTCATATAAATCTTATACTGATTTCAGGAACTCTATCCCACGATTACATTAAGTGGTTACCCCCTCGGTTTCTACATCTCGCTCTTATTGCATATATATATATATATATATATAAATAAGATTCGGGGGAGGGTCAAAGATAATTGTAAAGATAATGCGAGAGAATTAATGATAGAAAAGGATAAGGATAGGAAAGAGTAGTTGTTTGTTATGAAAAAAGGCTAGTGGTTTATCTATGAGGAATTGTGGCTGTGAAAATAGTACAAAATGTTCAAATAAATAGAATAGGATAAGAAAAGGTTAATATTGTTAATATTATCATGTTACTAATCATAGGTTAAGTTTAGGATGATAGAAAAGGATGTATGTGTGCATGGGTCATGAATGGTTTAAGATTTATCGTAAGTCCCCTTCTTGACTGTAATTATTATTACTATAAATATAAGATTCATTAAACTCGTTAAATTATCTATGCATGTATATGTTTTTAAGAAAAAACTATGGGTATTTTTCACTTGACAATACAAGTAAGGGACCTGTTTTTGTTATTCATGGAATACCAAGAAGGATTACAACGTTTATATCGACATGCATCGAGCACCTCCTTTTTAAAAAACTTAAACTCGAGACGCTAAATGACTCGGTGATAAAGTATACTTGATTGTCAATATAAAGATCAGAGTTCGATCCCCGGCGTTCCACATAAAGCTAATAAAAGACATTTTGAGCAGATAACATGAGAATTCACAGCGACAGAAACAAAAATAAGACGAAGACCAGAAAAATGGGTACTGCATCTATCTATGAATAGATTTACACGAAATATAGTAACTTTACTCCAATTGGAACTCTATTACATTTTGGAAATAGATATTTGATTTTCTACGAAAATATTTCAGTACTTACACAGATCAAATATTAGAACTTGACAAGTATTTCAATACAAAATATATTTATTGCATTGACTTAAAATATGATCTTATAATATTACCGATTATCTATTAAGATATTAATCTTATCTTGAAACTAACCTAGGAGGTCCCCGTCTGAACTCTCCTTGTCCTCGAAGTGTTCTTTCTCCGTCTTCTCGGTTGCGTCTGTTGTTGCGCTCCTCCCGAGATTCCCCAGAGAACTTGACGTTCCGATCACCTCCGCTCGCTCTTGATTGAGCGGATTTCTTATCGGCTGAGAACATCAACATAAAGCATATAATTATTATAAGTAAATATTGCTCTCAAACGGGAGAACTTAAGTTAATAGGCATTATTATTAATTACTCGAAATGCTTCCAACAATTCCGCTTCCACCAATGTAGATTAACTTTAATCTCATTCGTCGTCAGTTTAACTATTCGTCTCTTTTTGGTTCTAAGAATTAGAAAAAGACAAAGAGTAACTTGAACCAAAATTGACAGAAACAGGTATGACACTGTCAATTAAGTAACGTAATATGATTATTTAACTGTTAAAATTTATCAAACGACTTCAAATTAATTTAAAATACAAGAACTTTATGCATTATTTCAAAATATCAAAACAGTATTATCATTTTAAAATAATGTATATATATATATATATATATATAGAGGAAATACATTTAAATACCTTTAAAGAAAAAACAAAAAGGGTCATAATACAATTTGTTAATAAGAGCCACGCAATTTCATTACATGAGAAGTTTCAGTTACAGAGGGAAAAAAAGTTCTCTTGCGTTCCATGTATCCTCCTACAAATATATTTCCTTAAATGAGCACGCAGGACAATGGACACCCACAGATTTTCAGCGATTACGGACGCTGTTCGTATTTACAGCTGTTGGCTACTCACAAACTTGATATCACGCCGCCGAGATATCGCCGTTCAAGTAACAGAAGCCCATCGTACGCGCGTACCTATTACAGCTAGACAATACAACTCCCAAGAACCACAAAGGACAATGCCGCACGAGACGCCGCGCACCGCCGGCGCGATCGCGCAGGAATCTGACGTTGAATCGTACGCCGGTGTCGCCGGTACTCCTGGACGTGTCCCCCGGGGGGGAGGGGG